GGACGTTGAAGAACTTCCGGAGTGCCCCGATCATCGCCCGAGCTCCTTCGAGAGAGGCAAGCCCCGGAGCATCTTTCTCCCGGTTTGCAATGATTTCATTAAATGCTTTACTTTAAATTGATGCATTACGTTTAGGAGTTGTTTGCAACCGTTGCTGCATTATACCTTGTTTACCTTTGTTATATTATATCCTTGTTACCCTGTTATCCGTAGTCGAGTCAATGCTTAGCTGGCTTAGACCGGTAGAAGTCGAGTGATTTTCTGTCACCTGTGAGCTATAGGTGGTTACCTGGATCTGCTTGGATGGCTATGAAGTCATGGTATAACTAAGTGTTAAATGAAGTTGAGACCGGGCGGAGACTTGCAGAGTTTTGGACTGTAGTGTTTCTGTCTGTGTCGATTAAGGACCGACCGTTGTTGGGCCTCGAGTCATGTTGAACGCATGCCTTACATTTAGCTGGCCGGATAAAGTACCTTCCGACCGCGAAGCTGGGAGATTTTTCGGGCCGAGTAGATTGCCCGCAGCGCACTGTGCCGAAGCAGGTGTGGTAGAACACGGGGGCGGGATGATAAGACCAAAGTGCAGTCGGTCGGCCTCCGGGTACATGTGGTTCCTGGCAAACTCGAGATACCTGGAAAGTTGACTCGGTGATCAATATCTCACTTTAGCGGGTGAGTGAGGTTTGTATAAGGAATAAATCACCAGCTGGTTAGGAATCGATTCGAATCGCCATCGCTCCTGGATAGTGAGCACTTGACTTGAGTTACTTCATCGTAGTAAATGTTTATGGAACACTTGGATAGTTATAGTGAATATGACAGTATTGAAGTTGTTTAATGATCAGTGGTTATCATTATCTGCTTAATCATATGCGTGCTCCAGTATAGGTGCAAATCTAGCCAACAGGTTAATAATAATTAACTTGGCAATAATGCTTTTAGAAAGGTTCTTGAAATGCTAAAAATGCTTCTTTTGCAAATGAGTCAGCTACCCTACTATAAAGCCTTCATAATCCTTGGTGTCATTTATTTTCGGTTATGTCGGGTAAGTCTAGCTGAGTACCTTCTCATACTCAGGGTTTTATTCCCACTTGTTGCAGATGGGCAGATGTATTACGGCTATTTTATCAACTGTCTTTATCCTGCGATGGGTGATGCTTAGGACCATGGGCATGGTCATTCCTTACGTCTCGTCTAATGCTTTTGTTGGAGATGATCATTCGCTGGCACTATATTTGAACTCCGCGTGAGTGTGTGTGGTTTGAACAAATGGCTTCCGCTACTTTTATTCGAACTGGTTTTGTAATAACTATGTTTAAACTCTGATGTATCTGAGATTGAGAACTTTTATGTAATATGTGATGGTGACCGCTAAACTTATTATGATCTTGGCTGGAATGGAAGTTGGTTTGAAATCCTTCGTGATTTCACGGACTACCGGGTTATACGGGCTTAAGTTGCTAAATCGTCTGCCCTGGCGGATGATTTTCTCACTTAATTTCGTATAATTGGTCGGTTCTGTTACAGATATAGTATAACAAAGGTAAACAAGGTATAATGCAGCAACGGTTGCAAACAACTCCTGAACATAATGCATCAATTAAAGTAAAGCATTTAATTAAATCATTGCAAACCGAGAGAAAAATGCTCCGGGGCTTGCCTCTCTCGAAGGAGCTCGGACGGTGATCGGGGCACTCCGGAAGTTCCTCAACGTCCTCCTCGTCAGCTTCTGGCACTTCCTGCGGCTGCACCTCGAACTGGTCCTCGGGCTCCTCGGGTATGACGACTGGGTTCTCGGTTTGCGATCCTGTATGATGCAATGCGTGTAAGTGCTTATGCAATCGGTGCATCGGATGAGATGAATACAATGGATATGTTTGAATGCAAGGTAGTCAACATCATCCAAGAAAATATACTACAAGCACATGTCATCTACTGCATTCTCTTCTACTTCTAATATGTTAAGCCAACAAATCTTATTAAATGCTTCAAAGATACACCAAAGCTAACATTATTAACTAACTTGCATTAAAGAGGATTATTTTATTTCATTTTAAACTAGGGCTACAACAGCAACCTATATTTCTGGTGCTTATAAAAATCTAAGAAAATTACAGTAGCATAGTACTACTCTAAATAGACTACCATAAAATTTTCATGGCGTTTGGATAAATAAAATAGTCTACACAAAAATGACAGGGCATGGCAGGATTATGAACATAAAAATACTTTGAACTGTGAAAAGTGTCAAACAACAGAGTTAGTATTTTTCCTAGTTTCTTCATAGCATACAATGACTGTACAAAAATTATCACATGCATGTTTTATACAAAGTTTGCTCTCTAGCTAAAATAACAAAAATTAGCCATTAAAGGTACTTGAACTACACCAAAAAAATTTCCCACAGCTCATGCATGAAACATATTTTTTCTAGGAAGCACATTACATAAGAAGATTAACAAACTTGGAATCATATTTTTCTGAAGCCTATAGATTTTTCTACACATTTTTCAAGTTATCAGCAATATACATGATTAAATAAAGTTCTACAGAAAAGTATCTCAAAAATGACATGCAATAATTTTTCCAAGTAGATCTGGTGATAAGGAACCTAGCAAAATTTGTTTCAACAAATTTGGAGCAAATTTGAGTACCCAAACATTTTCCAACCCATTTCTATTTTCAAATAATAAAGAGAAATTGAAAACGAATTATTTCTACTCCTACTGGGCCGGCCCGTGGAAACGAACTGGCCCACGGCCACAACCGGCCTGCTCAGCCCGAGCGAAGGGGCGAGCGGCGGCCTGGCTCAGGGTTTGGCCCACGGCCATCCTGGCCCAGCATCGGCCGAGGCGAGACGCCACGCCTACGCCGGCGGCCAGGCACCACGACGGCGCGGCATACCATGGGCGCGCGCCGCCACAAAGAAGCCAGGAAGGCGCGCACAAGGGTCGCGGGGGCCGAGCGGTGCAGATGCGCGAGAAAAGGATGACAGGGTTGGAGCGGGTCGCCTGCGCGGGCACGAGCTCCGGCGAGCTTGCCGCGCGGCGAAGCGGAGAAGAAATCGGCCACCACGGCCTCTCACCTCGTCTACGGCAGCCACACGCGGGCATAAATCGAAGAGCTTGGCGGGCGGAGCAGCCCGGGAGGAATCGGGAATGAGGCGGGAGGAGGAGCAAATCGCCGGCGGAGCGGCAATGGCGCTTCGGTGGTGAAGCTTCGCTATCTTGGAGGAGGAGGAGCTGCCGCGGCCTAATTTGAGTGGGGAGGCTGCGCTCGGACAGCTTGAATGCGGAGAGCTGCGGTGGCGTGATATCGGGCGAGCGCGCTGCGTGTTGCAGGGGGCCACGGGGCGCCACCCGGTCGGCGTCACCACATCGCATGACGCGCCACCGCTGTGGCGTGCTCGACTGACGCGGGTGCGTGTGTGGGAGGAGGAGAAGAGAAGCATGATGGGAGGAGGGGGCCACGGCGATCGAGTGGGGGCGAGGCGGCGGGGGGATGGGGTGGATCTTTGGGCGGCGGCCAAGAAGGGCTGAGAAGCGAGGCGACGGCTGACGCCAAGAAAAAAAAAAAAATACTTTTCCAAATATAGTTTCAAGGAATTTTTACATGCCATCTTTCAAATATTATTTTGAGCAAGAAAATGACATCTTTTGAAAATAGTCCAAAAATGAAAGTTGCTTAGAATTTAATTATCTACAACTTTGCTTTTAAGACCAAAGCCAAATTATTTCTAGATTTTGAATTGTAAGATCAAAGTCCACGTTTTAGCTCAAAACCCTAATTTTGGGGAATTTATTTTTGAAGCCAAATTTCGAATTAATTTGAATACAACCTTGCTCCAAAAATTTGAACTAAACAATCCTAGATGATTTACAATAGTAGCCAACCATGTTTTACTAACCTAGCAAGCAAAATCAGGGCAAAACAAGTTTAACAAAGGTATGCAACATTCAGGTTTCACAACGTGTTTCAAATGTTTCGAAGCAGTGTTTCAATTGTTATTTACATGATTAGGCATGTGTGATTAGAATGCTTGATGATGCATGATATGCATGATTTGCAGTGACTAAATGCAGGCATAACACCGGGGTGTTACACTAACAAGGTTCCACTTGTTGAAAAATGCCTTGAGATATGGTGCTAACAAGGTTGCACTTGTTACATTTATTTATTTATCCATGATCGTATTCTCTTTTCTTGAAATATCCGGTAGTACCGTAGTACCGGTTTATATTAATACTTCCTCTATTCTAAATTGTAAGCCATTCTAACATAATATATATTTAGGTGCATAAAAGCTATGTATTTAGAAAAACTATATTCATTCACAACTTACCACATGACCTGCATGAATACACAAACCACACAAACCCAAGATACCTTCTCCTGTAACTTTAGCATCCGTGATTGGACAACGTATTTTAAGAGTTCAAAGCACGACGCAGTGACTTGAATACTTGATTAAAGGTAGTTATTACGCACCAATTTTAAGAAATTCTCCTCCGAACACAGAAACCGAGATCGCTGAACGCTGTATAGTGTACGTGAACACAAAATGGATGAAGAACAAGATATAATTATACAAAATACGGGGATAAAATGGCTTAAACCTAGAGTTTTTTGTCTTATTACTCTCCACAGTACCGCAACACGCAAAAAACCTACCTTAATGTTGTTCAAAGTATAGGAAATCGGCTGCTTCGCTAATAATAATAGAGCTAAAACAAAAAGGCAAAAAAAGCAAGGCTACAACAAACCCGGTGTCACAGGGTATGTAAGAAGCCTAACACGGGTAAGACACCAAAAACCAGTCACACAACTAATAATGAACAGACAAAATAAGTAAAATCTGGTTCATTCCCATGATGAGCCCCAGCTCATGAACTCCAGTACCAAACGACGTCTATAATTCAGGCAGAATCAATAGGTTTTGATTTGCAGATACCACAAAACCTGCAGCAAATGCACCGATAGGCGACCAGTATACATGATGCTTAGTTGCCATTTGATATGCCACTTTCAGCTACAAGTTTAGAGGCATTCGCCGCCGCCTCAGCAGGAGTGCCTTCCTTGCTCAATGCCTGTTTCTGTGCCCCTGGTTTGCCATTAGTTGCATCCTTGTCCTTCTCTTGAGAAACATCGCCCCCCTGGACAATGCGAAGAAACAAGGCATCAGAGACTATCATTTAAGCCATACAGAACCACAGAACACTGTAATAAGAAAAGATACTTGCCTGGCCTTGAAGCAGTTGCTGCTTTGCCCTCTTTTCCTGCATCAACTTTTGGCGATTCTCGTAAAAAGCAAAATCATCCAAAATTGATGTTTTAGTAACATGTTCTTTGAAAATCTTCAACATTTCAAGACCTTGTTCCAGCTTAACCTGCAGCATTATAGACAGCACAGGGTCACTATCATAAGTAAGTTTCTCAGAAGACCAACAATATTTATTATCAACAATTCATAGTGATACATAAATTTTCAACCACCCTCTTCAACAGAAACCAAGTGAATGGCCAGACAACATTATGAGTTGTCATGCAGACTCGCTAAGGCCCCTCGGGTCATGGCATAGTCATACATGACTGTAAACAACGAAATAGACCGATCATATTTTGCAGTTCCATCTAGCTAAAAGTCCCCCCTGATAAACCAGTAAAAATTTTAAATATCCTGAAAAGAAAGTAACCAAAACATTATCTTTACAGTACCCTTAGCCCATTGCATCATGATGCAATTAATCACTTAATAAGCATCTAAGCCAGGTAACTTTCAGGAAATATACCTCTTGTGTGTCACGGCTGTTTGTCACAGGCTTATTATCATTGTTATCCAGTGTAATATGCTTCAAGATGTTGTTGGGCACATCCTTGACTATGTGCCACTTGAGTGGAAAACAACCATTCCACTTGTCTTGTTGCCAATACTCCACAGTCTTATCAAAGTCAACAGGGCCAACCATTTCAGCAACACCAACAAACTGACCACTTGTGTTCACCTAAGGGACAAACTCAAGGTCAAAAAGGGACTGCCAAAGAGAACAGTAATAATAGGGAAAGATGCTGACTTACAGAGAAAAACAAGAACACTGGGCAGTCGCTGGATTTCTCCTGAGCCTCTCGGTACCCAGCATCCAGCTTCTTATTTCCATTAGGTGTGCTAGCCCACACATTGTATTTTATACTCTTGTGCACATCATCCTCACTATATGATTTGATAACAAAGAACTTTGCATCCTTGTAGGCTAAAGGAAATCCTTCCTGGTTAAATTGGCCTTTGTCTGGAAGAGCACTGTTCTGTTTCCCCACTGAAGGGAGGGCCTGGCCCTTCACAGCAATAGTGACAGTAGGCCCAAATTGTTTTTGGTGCTTGAAACCACCAGACCTTGGTCCTCTGTTCAGCTCGGTAAAGCCATCTTGATTCTCACCACTAAAACCAAAAGGTGCACGCCCTCTGGGCTTGTATTTGGTATCCACGACTCCCCACCTCCCATTGTTTCTCGAGTTATACATGTTTGATCCAAAATCAAGGCCGCTTTTCAGTGTGTTCCCGTACTGACCATACTGTCCATATAATCTGTTGTCCGGGTACATCCTAGAAGGATAGCTAGGTGAGGTCAGACCCATTCCAGAAGAAGGCATCTGTGCATGTATACCCTGGAAATAAATGAAACCAACAGCTACGCTTTATTCAAGAACACTGCATACTTCTCATAATAATCCAAATACGCAAACACATCACATTTGTATGTGCACAGTCTTAAGAAAGGCAGTACAATTCATTATAAATGGTATGTGAGAGCAAGCTTAAGATGTCATTGATTGCCAGACATAATTAATTACTTAAAAAGAAACTCTGCAACACAATATTATGAAAATGATTTGTTTGGAGAACACACCATGAGGTTTGTTGTAGGACGCTGGCTCTGACTTTTCGTAGAAGATGAATTGGAACGGTAAGATGTGGAACTAGCAGTTGGTATCTGATGCCCATTCGAGTAAACTGGACCATCGTACCATTGAGTTGGAGAACGAACACCACTGTGACCATAATTGCTTGCAGAAGGTCCACCACCTTGCATAGGTCCTCTTCCATATGAACCATTGTTTGCTACTGATACATTCAGGTGGGTTTGCTTACGCGGCAGCGAACTGTTGTGAGCAGTCGTCATACCATTAGCACTCACGTTTGGAGTTGCTTTTGTTGCATCTACCAAAACTCGTGCCTGCTGACTGGCAATGGAGGGCAGTTCAGGTTGAGAACTGGCACCATTTACACCATGTTTTGCGTTTGTTGGGGTTGGTTGCTGATAATATTGAGTCGGGTACTGATATTGCTGAGAGCCATATGACTGGCCATCATGCCCAACACTTGGTACAGGAGAACCCGAAGGATATGGGCCATATGGAGCATAGCCATATCCATGGTACATGTCTCCGTACACACTCTGCTACATTATTTCAACAGAAAAGAAAGTATCAACTTCATCCCTTATGTTATCCACAAGAGTAAATATCTTCACCAAAATTCATAGTTCACAATCTGAATGTGTACACATGCCACTATATTTGTTTTCAGATTTCTAGAGGAAGTGGAAGCGCATATAATTCAAATGTATCTTAAACCCAAAAATACACCTAGTTGAGATAATTGCACAGTCAACACAAATGTTAACTTACAGGGGGCATCTCCATTCCTTCATGACCAGAATACCTTGAGTCCCATTCATTGGCTGAGCCATCATAACCTGAGAAGCAGCATACAAGAATCAAACATTGTCATTATTGAGCTTAGCTACCTACAAAGGTCTGCGGCAACAAGGAGCACAGGTTTATGTACCACTAGGAAAGTAATAGGCTGGAGAGGCATATGCATTGGGCTGGTAGAAGAAGTTAGGATCCATGGCCTCTTGTAGTAGAGGTGTTATCGATCTGTCCACCTGCGAAGCAGCGCTCTGTGCATCTCCAGCGTGGGCAGATCCATATGGCATCCCAGAAGGCTAGAATTATACAATTTAGGAAATCATTAATTTTTATCCTCGGTGAATTTCTCCTTCCGTTAAGAATAATTCTGCAAAACGAAACAGTGGCCCAAAACAGCCTAGACAGCCTATACCTTCTTGGCAGCGTCGGAGCCATCCTTGCTCTCCAGAGACAGCTTCTGCAGGAGATTGGTGGTCTCTGAAACTCACGAATCAAGGAAGAAGCACGTGGAATTCAAGCAAGCACCTCGTAGTTCAATCAATACAGTTTACCTACTGAAAACAAATAAAAAAGTTTTTCCCCCATATAAGCGTGACCAAAAAAGAAATATTTCTAAAAACCGCCTCCTAAAACACTGCTCCAAGGCCCTAAACACGGATCAAACCCGCCACAAAAAGGAACAGGAAGCAAGGATACGGTCAGCAGCGGTAGGGGCAGGAGCAACTGTCGCCATGGCTTCTTCCCTCCGGGTCAATTCGATCTAGGACAGACGCCTGCCGCAGCTACCACCACCACACGGCTGCTCCTGAATCGGATCCAAGGCCGATGTAATAATTCGATAAGATAATTCTTGTCTATGGCGGGGAGAGGCGGTGGTGGAGGATAAACCCTAGGGAAGGGGAGGGGGAGACGAGGCGAGGAGAGGAGAGTGAAGGGATAGCCGCCACAGACGCGAGGGGAGGGAGAAGGAGGCCGCCAGCCAAGAGGCAAGAGAGCGTTTTAGCGATTCGAAGGCGGTGATTCAAATACCGACCCGGCCCATCCCCGGCGCTCGTCTATCTTCCCAACCTCTTGCTCCAGGTACACAAAACTTGTCAACATATTGGAAAAGGGTGTAAGGGCGTGTTTGGATGACGGCCGCACCGCGCCACAGCTCGCCACAACTATCACGCCCAAGCTTCGGCGGCCGTTTGGTTCGTCGCTGGACTTACAGCGTGCCGCAACACAGCCACAGCTTGCCAAGTCATTTGCATGCCACAAGCTACCAAAAGTCCTGCGCCCGAAAAGGCCGCCGCGTGTTTGGCGCAGACGCAGCTTAGGCGTGATCCAAACGCGCCCTAAGTCTTCAAGAGAACAGGGTGACACAGCTATATTAATAAAGCTCCTTAGCTCAGTTTATGGTGAAGACATAGGAAAAAATACTAGAGAAAACTAACATGTAAAAGAGGAGAAGATGATGAAAAAAACTAGGTATGCCGGAGGCCCTACCTAGCCATACTCACTCCTCTAACGCAAGTGGGAATTAAGGAATAACTTTTATTAGCACGCGCTTTTACTGAGCCCGTCACGCGATTTCCTTTCTCTCTTACCGTTTGTCTTCTTCAATAACCAAACCTCATGTTCTCCTTGTTCAATGAACCGCGCAAGCCTGTTGTCGCCTCTGGCCTCTACTACCGCCCCTAGCTCACAACTCACCCGTCGACCGCTTTGCCAGCCAGCCACCTCCGCTCCTCCAGCCCCACACTCCCCTAAATCCAATCGGAGGAGAAAACTTGCCACCTTGCCCCCCCCCCAACAGGTCTTCCACCACCTGCTCAGCGGCACACCTTGCCGCCCCTCAACTCCCACCACCGCAAAAACCGATCGTTGTCGCTAGGCCCCTCCCTTTTCTAAGCTAACCATGCATGTAGGGCTTCCCCAAAAAAAATTAAACCCTAACCCCAATGCTCCTCTGAAAATCCAAAACCCTAACCCCAAATCCCATCGCTGCCGCCTCCACCACCCGACTCGCAACAACCTCGCCGTCAACTGCCCCGCCATACATGGCCCGCGAAGCATTACGCATACAATTGTTTTATATTTGGAAATATGTACATGCATTGCTATGATTTTTAGGTCGACTCTTATACAAGTTATTATTGTGGTCTCTTTCTTCCTTTTCTTGATGTAAATGATTTGGTCAAAGCAATGCCTTTCATGGAGTTTAGCCAAATAGCAAAACCAGCTCCATTAGTGATAGTGTTGTGTGCGATGGTTCAAAGGTTTTCTACAAAGTTGGTGTCTTGGTGAATATTAATCTGGCTTGGCATGGTTTGAATCGATGGATATGCATGTTCGAAGATGATGTTCCACATGCATGCACGTATAGTGGCATACATGCTACTTCTTCTCGCCATGCTTCATGTAATGCTTCTTTGGGGAACATGCAGGGTACTTCTTCCTGACAAGCTTCATGCAAGGCTCTTCTTTTGTGGGGTGAAGATTAACCAAACTCTTGGTTGTGTGGCTTAGTTTATTGTCTGAAACACCATATAGAAATGACTGAACGTTTCATTATGACTTGTATATGTACATTAAATAGCTAAATATTATTTGTTTATCAGTTTGTTTATTACATACCAACAAATGTACCTCATCTCCCTTTGTACTTGTTACATCTCCGTTGTGCACTGAAGTATTCCAATCCATCCGTTACATGTTTGCAAATGCTCTTGTACCGTGCATGATGGTGACCCAGATATAGACAAAATTACATCATGCATATGAATGTTAATTGGTACATCACTCAATGTCTCTAGGATTACGTGAGTAACTGAGTATGCCGACGACGAGGTCATATGAACACACTTAGGTTATTTTATATTTCTACAATGACCCTGTTCGCTTATCTTATAATCCGTCTTTTTCAGCTTGTTTTTTCAGGTAGAACAGTGTTTTCTCTCACAACAAATCAGCCGGAACAGTGTTTCGCCTTGTTTTTCAGCGAAGCGAATGGGGCCAATGTTTGTACTCAAGGCACTTATTAATTCAGCATTATTGACATCTATATTTTTTTGCAAAAAAAATAACTCGTTGGGTAGTACTTACTTCTTAATTCCCATACTAACATGTGTTAAAAATGGTTATTATGGTCATATTTAAAGATTAGATTACTTGGAATTATAAATAAACTAAAAGTAAAATCATGTTTCTTTACATATCGAGAATTCCCGTTGTTAATTGTTATCCTACCTATCCGATCCATGGATGTTACTATTATAGAGGTACTATGTGATTCAAAAACATATGTTGCATGTCGTTTTCCCGTGTGGCTGTGTCTGTGTGTGGCTCTAGCATTAATCTATATTTAAACTACTTTAGCAGGAAGACAGAAACCCTAGGCTCCGTTGGGCCAGCCCATGACCCAATCAGGCCCATGCTCCGTGGCCGTGGTCCTCGGTCATTGCAGAGCTTTCTCCACAAAGCTCCGAGCTTGTTCTTATCTGGAAGCGGTTTCGTTGCTTGACGAAAAATCTCTCTCGGTGCTTTGCTTGTCCTCTCTCGTCCGGTCGTCCCGTGGCATCTGGAGCACAGCTAATCGGCTGTTTGGTGTTTCCATGTCCACTTGTAAAGCCAGGAGCCAAGCGCACGGTTTGCAAACACGACCGTACACATTTTCTTTTCCTGGCTGGAATTCACCAGTACTCAGTAAGAACAGATAATCGTGTGTACCAGAAGTATCCTTTAACAGTTGACACGAGTGTGTGTATAGTCACAGTTGTTTCAGGCGACGCGTCGACTGACTAGTGGAGGCGATAAAGCAGGCGAAGCTACTGCTCTCCTCGGTGCCAAAATAAATACTTGATTATTATTTTTTTAATTTAATTAAATATATAAAAAATATTATTATTTATAATAGTGTAATTCGTTTGATCTTTCATAATAAAATAGCTTAGAGATATAAGTTTCAATATTATTTATATTTATCTAGTCCAAATTTAAGAAGTTTTACTTCTCTGGAATTGAGATATATATATTTATTTTGGGATGAAACGGAATATTGGTTATTGGTATGAATTAAATATTGTAGAACTAATAATAATGATTAAGATCTTGTTTTTGAAGGTGAGTTTTGTTCTCTAAACCAATAAACCATTATTGGAACTAGACTATTCTGTTTTTTAGTTTTCTATATAGCTCTTATTAAAATAAAAGGATAGTACTAGTAAATTTTGAAAGGTTATAAAGGACGTGTGTTTTTACCTTGGTATAAGCTTTGAAGTTTGAACAGAGTTGCTTACTTCAGGCTCGCTCTGTATAAGTAACAGGACAAGGTGAGTGGTCCCGGTCGCGCCGTTTTTAACTTCGGACCTACTGGACCCTGGTGGGTGGAGGGAGGTCTGGAGGGTTCTCGTTCTACGAGCGTGTTTGTTATTGCGGGCTTGCTCGTCTCTCCATGACTCGATCTGCCTCCGGCGCGCAGACGCGACTGCAAATATCTCGTCTCTCGATACTGACGTGCGCTCGTTTTCTTGGCCGAGATGACGCGGTTTCTAGCTGCTCCAAGGAGACAAGGACCAAGGGCGGGCGGCGCAGCTCAGCAGCTCATCTGCACATGAGAATGAGAAATGATCAAGTCGGCGGAAATATCCGACTACGAATCGGGTCCCTTTTCAAGCTCGGGACCCAGAGCCCACCAGAATCGACGGAAATGCATGAAGACAAAGCGGTTTGTAGTTCGGTTTTCTGTTCATGCGTGCTGAATGAACAGTTTTTCCCCTTTCCACACACACGTCTTGTACATCAGTGATCATCATCAGTCATCTAAGGGTCTGTTTGAATCATCTCCTCTATATTTTAGAGCTTTAAACTTTAGAGCTAAGACTCCTAACATGTTTAAAATTACTTCTAAACTTTAGCTCATCTCACATAAAATTTTAGATCTTAAATGTGAGCTAAAGTGCTCTAAACTTAGAACAGGGGATTCAAACATATCTAAATAGTCGCGGGGACAAAGCGGACGACGAGAGGAACGAAAGAACATTACTCGTCTCAATAGGGAGACGATAATGTTTCGCGTGAAAGGATATGGCTCACCAGTTGAAAGGAACACACAGTTTAGGCATCCGATATGATGATGAATTTCCACATTTTCTCAGTTTTTCGGATGAGTATAAACTAGAGTGCTACCCCACGGTGGCGGAACCAAAAGTTTCGAGTAGCAGATCGATCAAATATAGTCGATCCATCGTAATACAATGTAACCATCGTAATACCTTCCTGTCTAGTAAGTTAAACATGCTTTTTTTTTAAATGCATTAAGACAAAACAAAATGGACTATGCGCGATGGCTTAACGTGTGATTCACATGCGTCCTGCCTACCTGACGAATGTTGAAAACTTGAAATTGCTTGGCATGTTAGCTAGCGTGCTGCAGCATTCCTTGTTGCAGGCAATCTAGGCACAAGTCTCCCGATACCCAATAGTCCATGCTAATGCTTATGGTAAATTTTTTTGCAGCGCATAGCGATGAAGTGACGCATCCTGCCCGTACCCAATAGTCCATGCTGAAATTGCTTGACATGTTGTTCTATGGATTTTTGTCTCTGTTTTGCTTGTGGATTTAGAGAAGACCCATCTCCTGCTCGGAACGGGGGCAGCAGTGATGAACTGATGATCATGATGCATGCACCGCCGTTGCCCATGAGGCCATAAAAGCAGAAAAGAAAAAAAATCGCAAGAGTTCATTCCAGA